TCAGAGACAGTAAGATTGGCACAGGATAGAGTAGGGTTTAGGGATGTTGTACATAGAGTCACAGGCAACTCGACAGCATATACTTCCAGCCTAGATCTTTCAGCTGAGCCTCAGATCCACCATCCAACTGCTTATTGGGCATTTCTCCTGGCTCCTGTAACTAGACACAGTGTAGAATCTAACTCATCTTGCCCCCAAGCCCATACTTCTCTTGTGTTCTTTAGCATGATGGATGACACCTCCGTCCACCCCATTGTTCACATCAGAAGCCTGGGGTTCAATCTACAGGCTTTCTTCTCTCCTACCTCCCACAGCACTATCAAACACAAAATCCTAACTATTTTTATCCTCTACAGCATTAAGGAAAAATGAAGTCCTGGAGAACTATTTGTAAATAGTCCCTATATCAAAGATTTAACTGCTGATATAAGTCAGCCAGCTGGCTTTGTATTCCCTTACAGTTTCTCTGCCCTATTCCTGTTCACTCCTTTATATTTCTTTTTATCTATGTTTCAAAGTCATAAAGATAAGGAAGTTTAATTAGAATTTTGCCTTTTCTAGTTTCTCCCTACAGAAAGGACATTTATTTATATTTTGTTTAGGCGAATTTTAAATTCTCTGGATTGTAATGATATCCTGTAGTGAAAGAGGGCAAGTAAAATCAGGCCCTCAAACTTTCCCATACTTCCCTTTTAAGGAATGAGGATGTTGCTTTTTATCCACTCTGCTCTCCTCCCCTGCCATGAATGAAAAAAACAGCATCAGAATGACAGCGTTTGACCTTAAAACTGATGGAAAATATACCAGGGAAAGTTAAAATTAGAGAAAAATTATTTTACACAATGTTATCTATTTACCCATCCTAATCAGTAGTCTTGCAAAATAGCCAATGGCAATATTCAGGCACTGGCTCTCCATTTTATACATGCGAGTTATATGGCCAGTTTACTGCGTGCAGGCTGTTAACAAAAAAGGCTAGTAGTGCAACCCATCCAGCAACACTGTGGAAGAAAAGGCCTGGTATATGCTTCTATAAAGATTACTGGGAGCTGACATGAACCATTTGTAGTTTTCACCAGAAGATCAAGTCAGCAAAGGAAGGGGAGACCTACAACCAGACAGACTGACACAGTGACTACAACAGTGGGCTCTAGTAAGTCAGAGGTGATCAGGATGGCACAGGCAGGGGAGGCTTGAGAGCCACTGTTCAGAGGGTCACTGAGTCATGGTTGACTTGACCTCACTTAATTAAAACTCTACAATATGCTTTTCTTTTATCTTGCTGTTAGCCAAAGTAAATTTTCTTAACTCTTGACCACTTCCACTAGGAAGCATGATTAAAAAGTTGGAATTTAAAGTCCAAATAGTCCACATCACCACTATTTTATAATCCTGATAAACTTCAATGAGTCTGATGATTGTCTCAGTGAATTCATGCTTTTCTAAGGGAGTGATTATTACGCTTAGTTGTATCCGACTGAGAACCCATTTCCCAACCATGATGCAAACTAAAGGTGACTATTTCTAGGTTGGCAGCAAAACTTCGTTTCCCATCTTTTCCAGATCCTTTTTCTTTATCTGGTGACCTAGCAGGTAAAAAGAGCTACATGAGCAACCCAAAGGCAGATGGTTCGACCCACTAGCTGTTCCTAGTGAGATAGATGGTGATTTGCAGCCTCTTGAAAACCTAGTAGAGGGTAATGGATGAATTCTAACTCATTGGCAAGGAGAAGTTTTTGTGGGGTTGGTGGTTTGGTTGTTTTTTTTTTTGGGGGGGGGGTGGTTTGTTCCTTCTTTATTGAAAAGAACAGACAGCCCAAACAAGGAAGCCCTTAAACAACAAAGAGTTAACAGTGCTATTAAACATAACAGGAAACCTTACCAAATCTCTCTTCCTGCCTCCTTCTAGCTAGCCTGGTCAGAGGCAGATAAGGATGCAGGAATGCTTACATGTCCAAAGCCTATATAAACAAACTGGGACATTCTTGAAGGCTTGCATCTATGGCAGAAAAGCTTGCCTAATCCCTGGAGTAAGTAAAAATAATCATGGGTCTAGGGCAAAAGCACATCCTTTCCCATATGGTTACAGACCAGTGCAAAAATGCATATCCCACTTCCAGTTTTTTGGATGAAAGCAGATACTGTCTAAATAACTATTTTTAAGCAATAGCTGTTTGGGTTTACAGTCAACAGTCAAGAGTCAACAAGGTCTTCAGAAGCACAGGGCAACAAAATTTTAAAATGTCATTTAGAAAGATTATGCAACAGCTGTCAAGAAATTTCAGAGGGGGAAAAAACCCTTGGTATCTAGGTTAGGTTAATATCACACTTCCTCTCTCTTGTAAATCTCCTTGGAAACTATTATTTGACCCAAATGAGTCAGATAATTTTTTAAAGAGGCCTCCAGCTGCATTATGAGGATCCACATTGTACTCAACATTTGCTGCTTGGGACTGGCGCAAGAAAACTCACCACCCGCCAGCTTGAAGAAAAGTCCCGTGAAGGACGAGACAAAACTTTAGCGTCAGTGCTGAGGCCACAGATCTGAGGTGGAAGAATGAGCTGTCTTGGCAGCAAGATGCTGGAAGTTCTCTCTGCTGCAGGGAAGAGTCTTGATAGACCCCAGGGGTTACCTTCTAACCAGGGACACTACCTTATCCCCTGAGAGAAATTTTTATTGTCTGAGAAAGGAAGAATAAGCCTTGAACTGAATGTATTATGTGAGAGCAAGGGTGATGACCAGGAGCCACTGGCTGGTCCTCTTCCTGTTTCCCACAATGCATGTGCACAGTCTTTATTTTCTCCAGGGCTTTCTCTTCATCTGTTTTACTTGGCATTTTAAACAGCCCTTGGAGAGCAACCTCCCTCTCACTCCTTTGCATTGAGGTCATAAATTAAGAGTATGTACTTGGCTGTCCTTTCAACCCCAACATAATACACAAAGGTCATTTTGGCCAAATGCAAAATAAAATAGTCCTCACAATATGATTTGATGGCACTAAACAACATAGAGAAATCTGTGTCCTGGTGAATGTTACCAAGACAAAGGTGGGCGATTTTAACCTCAAGCCTGGTTTTAACTGTTTTGGATCAAATATTCTTTTAAGTGACATAGCACTGGTCTGTCCATTTGCTATACAGAGGTAATCTGTGATTGCTCTGATGCTAAACACTGTGACATTGATGGGTCAAATGTGATAATGATGATGTTACCCATGGTGGACAGTGTTTGGTGGAGCTTCCTGATTAAAACAATCTTGGAAGCAGAAGTAGCATCCACTTTCAAAATAGCTTGCCTCCAGAAACCCTGTGAACTTGGAGAAAGGATGAAAGTTATACAAGTATTCAGGTCTTTTGTTCATAGGGTCACTATGAGTCATCTACCACTCCACGGCACTTAACAACAACAACATATTCTGTTTATTCCTGAATGTGTACTGAAGAGCATTTCCAGTATTCTTTAGATAAAAGAGCTTGATGCTCAGCTAGAAAATGAAATATTTCATTATTATGGTGCTTATATTATTACCAGGGACAGTAAATATAGTGAAGTAAAATATAGCCAAATACACATCTCTAGATAAAATAGCTCAAGTTCTTCCTTGCAAAACATATGCATATAATAAGCATAGTTTTGAGGAGGAGAAAATAAAACACCAAGGGTAGGAGGGACATTCAAAGCTCGGTAAACATAGAGTTTATGTTAATGATGGTGGAATAATTTGAAAGGGCAGAGCAGAGATAGTTACAAAACAGGATGAACATAATCAGTGCACAGAATTGTACATACAAAATTACTGAATTGGCAGATAGAGTTTATGTGTTTGGGTGTGTGTATATAAATGTATATGCATTTTCCACAATTAAAAAAAACCCCAACATTTTAAACCTCTAATATTAATGATATTAATTAACTAGGCCACACACACACACAAAAATAGGACTGTTGAAACTATCACACTCAAAGGGACCATACAGAGCATCTAATGGAATTCCTTAGAAGTTAAATAAATGAATGTTCAAGGTCACCCAGCTTTCTATTGACAGAACTCAGACAACAAACCAGGTGTTCTAGTTCCCAGGTTGTGCTTTCTTGTACAACATCATGCTTTCAAATTCCAGCCAAATTTGTAAAATTTGAAGAATTAAGTCAAATATCTCTATCTGCTTCAAGGATTAGCAAAGGTAACACTTTCTCATTTGAAACCACTTTTTCTTCTTAATGCTTCTTATTTTATCAAGTGAGGAAAAACTGAAAGTCACATTGTCAAGCCTCTCTTGCAGCTAGTATTCTACATGTGGTTGAGTTTCTATCAAGCAGAGTCATAAGACCTATGGAAGCAGAGGAGGAGACATCTGATTCACCAGAATAGATGTGGTGGCAATTCTGGAGATTCCTCCATAGCGTCACAGCACTGTTCCTCTCCTTTATGTCACCAAGCTGTATAGGGTGACCGGTAACAGGAATTTCTAATGGCACTGTCTTGTGGGTGGTTTGGTGCTTCCCTGGATTCCTTTTCATTGGGAGGAAAGCCCCTAAATCTGGTTCCATGACCTCCTTGAAAAGATGCCATAAACTAACATCCCTTCTAACAATCTCTCTTCCTCTTAAACCTCAAAACTCACAAACTCATTGTTGACAAGTCAGAACTAACTCTATCTGGCACACCGGTGGGTTTGCAGAGGCTGTAAATCACATAGGAGATTGCCCATCTTTCTAACAGGGAGTCGCTGATGGGTTCAAATCTCCAGGGAGGCCTGGCTTTTGAGTCAGGCACACACGTCTCGAGCTCAACTAAATTGTGTCTTCTGATTCTGATCTTAAAAGAGCACAGTCTAAGAATATTTCTCAAGATAAAACTGTCATTTATTTAGATTCTAGGGAACAAGTGCCTTGGATAAAAAGAATCAAAAAAACATTTAGCCTTTTTAATGTACCCAGGATGGATTCCGGCATCTCCTTATCCATTTATAGAATCCCACAAAACCCCAAGATGTACCTGTCATCTTTATTTATCTGGTCTCCAAATCCCACAGTGTCAACGATGGTTAACTTCAGCCGTACATTGCTTTCCTGAAGTTCGTAACTTCTGGCTTTTAACCGGACACCTGGTTCATTGTGAGTGGCTGGGTCACTTTCAAATTTGGTGTTGAATAAAGTGTCCATTAGTGTGGATTTGCCAATGCCGGTCTCACCTTATATATAAGCAGGAAGGAAAAATGAGAGAGTACGTTAATGTCTGCTAGACATCAGTTCAACTCAAACTATTTTTTTAATGTCATATTTGAAAAAAAGAAAAACAGAAAAATATTGAATTAAAGTTTAATACCACCAGAAATCCTCCCAACAAGAGAAACTTTTCGTAAACCTGTAAGATATTTTTCTGGACAGGACTTTAGTGAACGGGAAAGATTATAAACCTATAGAACAAAATGCTTTTCTTCACATCTCGATGAAAAAAAACTGTACCTCTTAAGTCTATTTGCAATCAGCTTGCTAATTATAATAATGTGAACTGTGTTTCTTTCCTTCATAAATGTTAGCATATAAAACTACATTACTAAACTGCTATATTAAAAAGACTGATTCCATTTCAATCATATCATAAAAAATATCTGATAACATCCAATGTTTTCTAAAATACATTTTTCAAAACAATACTCTTGACCACAACAGCAATATTTAAACTCATTACTGTTTGAGTTAGATCTTGTGGCAAGAGTTTTCAATATATCACCTCATTGAAACCTTGCTATTACCTCATGAAATAGATACTATTGTTTCCTCTTCTTTATGACTGGGACACTAATGTTTGCATAAAGTAACTTGTCCAAAGCTGCACAGCTAAACAGCAGAACCAGGATTTTAACTCATGTGACATCACCCATTGGGTTCAAACTCAACCATAAGCGATCTCAGGGAAAGATGATTTGCAGATAATAGAGAAAAGTAAGTAGACATATTTTTTCAGTCATTTTTTTGTGTGTGACAAAGTCAGGAATGTTTCATTTGTTAAATGTTATTACAATCATACAATGAGTTAAAATCCTCTCCTAGCAACATGCCCCAAGTATGTGAAACAAGGTTTCTCCATTCTTGCCTTTTAGGAGCAGACTGGCTGAACCTTTTCCAAGGCATACCTGTTTGTTCTTCTGACAGTCTACGGGATATTCAGGGAGCTCTGGCGGCAGTTTGAATCCACCAGCTACTAAATAAGATGGGATATCTCTTCCAGTGTAATTTATTGCCTCTGAACACCTGCTGGAGGGTCAGCTATGGGTTGGTTCTGACTCTATGGTACACAGTAACAACAACAACAACGAGATATTCAATACTCTTCTCTAATACCATCAGTTCTTCTCCTGTCATCCTTATTTGTTGGCCAGTTCTCAGATGCATAACAAGTGACTGAAAAGACCATGTCACAAAGCTAGCATGCTTTAGTCTTCAAGCTGATTCAGGGTAACCCTCTACTGGGTTTTTAAGGCAAAAAAAAAAAAATCTAATGGAAGGAGACTGGCTTTGAATCACTGAAAACTCTATGGAGCCATCCCTCTCTGTCACTCATGGGGTCACCAGGAGTTGGAATCAACCAACAGCAACAAGCTTCTTTGTCTTTTTTTTCCCTATTCAGTTGTAGTCAATATTGCAAACATTTGCTAGTATTCCTAGCTTCAGGGTAAAATCAGTGGCAATAAAATCAAATAAAGCCAAATGATTTGCAATAAAGGCCTTATTAATTCATACTGATGATTTAATTTATTAAGTATTTACTGAGGCCTTAACATGCGCAAAGTAAAGTAGCAAGAAGGAGCTCTGGTGCATAATCGGTAAAGAACTGCATCATTAACCTAAAAACTACTGTGTCTCCAAACAGCAGCTCTGCTACAGAAAGATAAGTAGTTTCTTTCTGTTACCAATTTAAAATTCTATAGGAGGGAGTGAGGGAGGATGGAAGAACCTGGCACTAGTACACCAATCAAATGGGCCAACCCAGCTAAGATTCAAATGTGAAGCCACAAACAACTTTAGCATGACCTTAATCAAAGATAGTTGGTTAGAGGGAGCTCTGATTAGCTAATGGTAAAAAGCTGCACTGCAATCCCAAAGATATTTGGCAATAACAACAATAACAAGAATCTATGCTTGGAAAAGGGTCACCAAAAAGAGGAAGACCTCAAAAGGGCTTAACATTACAGATTGTGAGGACAGTTCAGGGTTAGGTTTTGTTCTGTTGCTTTAAGGTGCTAACTACATTATCAATGGCAGTGGTTTTTGAATGGTGGTTGCATGGGGTTGCTGAATGTATAAACTGAGGGAAACAGAAATAAAGAAACACTGGCCCTAGAAATTCCTTTTGTATTTAAAAATCTGGAAATCTGTCAACTTGGATTTTCAACTGAATTGAAACCTGCCAAAAAACTGAAGCCCTTTTCCAATGACATTCCTAGGAACATTCCCTCTTCTAAAGGGTTGCTGTCATGACTGTAAGTATGGTGACAAATTACATGGGGAAAAAGAAAAAACACTTGGATTTCTAGCCTCAGGGAAAACTCTCTCATTGTAATGGCAAAATTCACTTACTAATGACAAGTCCTATATTACTCAATGCTTCCCAATATAATGTAAGATTAAAGTGGAATGGAGACTTTCTGAATCTGAACATTCTAACTAGCAGTCTCCTGTGGTTGGCCCCAACTGCAATGATTCATTTAGAGGATGGTTGTGGAATTACTCTTGTAATTGTCTTACTCTTTAATCTTTTCCATTGTGCCCTGATACATCTAAGAGTAAACAATTCCTTCATTTGCCTTCATTCAATCAGGACTTTTCCAGAACACAGTATGTACCAAGCATTGTGCCACACACTGGGGATATGGCATTGAACTATCAAGATATGCGGTTTGCCTACAGCTTAAAATCAGGCCTGAAATGCTAACTGAGGTTCAAGAAAAGGATAAATTGTCTACTATTACAACATTTCCCTTAGAAGCAATACCAACACCATATTTTAAGCCATGGGGCCTTGCTAGTCTGCCACAAACAAAGACCAAGGCTAGACTCTAGCCAAAAGGCAGCCAAAGGAGCCCAACAGTATACAGATTATCAGCTTGTGAGCCATACTGGAGGGTGGTGAGTGTATCTAATGAATTTGTATAGTAGATATACAATCTACACAAAATGCAATCACACTAAAAAGAAAATACAGAGGAAGTGAATCTTAAGAAACTATAAAATTGGTAAGAGAACAAACAGGTTTGTCCTAGAGAGGGTGAGGCCAGGCTGTACCTTGGAGGCAAGGATTCTGAAGCTTCCTCTGACATACTTTGGACATGTTATAAGGAGGTACCAGTCTTCAGAGGAAGGCCATCGATGAGATGGATTGATTCAGTGACTGGGGTAATGGGGTTCGTGTGTCAGAGACAATAAGATTTGGCACAGGATAGAGCAGGGTTTAGGGCTGTTGTACATAGGGTCACTATGAGTCATAGGTGACTCAAAGGCACATAACAACAAGGCAGCAAAGATTGTAAGTCTGGACAAACTAGGGCAAATATGTAAAAAAGATAGAACTGTTAGGTGGTAATGGAGGCAAAAGAGGACAGACAGAAACAGTGGAGCTTAGTGTCCAAAATTCATTATTCAACTAATATTTAAGTACTTGCTATGCAACATTACAGATGTTTAGGGTAAAAGAGTATCCAAACAACTGACAGGCTAAATTCCTGTGGTACGTTGCTGAGTACTGTGAGTTAGAACTGACCCATAGCTGACCCTGCAGTGGGTTTTCAGAGGCAGTTTATGGCACAGGAGGAGACTGTCCATCCTTCTTCCCCAGAGCAACAGGTGGATTCAAACTGCAAGCATTGGGGCTTGCAGCACAGGCTCTTACCTGCACCAGAGCTCCCTCTATTATTCCAAACGTCTATCAAGAAAAGTAGCACTAACTATTCTCTATTCTGATACCAAATCAGCTGCCAATTCTGACTCGTGGTGATTCCATGCCTGCCAGAACAAAACTGCGCTCTGTGAAGTCTTAAGTGTCTGATCTTGCAGAAGCAGATTGCCAAACCTTTCCTTTGCAGTAACTCTGTTTTCTCTTGAGTTAGTAGCTGAGGACTTAACCATGTGCACCACTCAGTGCAATCTAATCTGCTTGACCTAATCTTAGTGCGTCTCTTACTCATGATTTTGTAGCTTAACAATTTAACTTTGAGTGAAACAAACATATATGCAAATGATAACAGAAAAAAAATCAAAGTTCTTAATTTAATAACAAAGGTCCTCAATCATTTTAAGTAAATGCCACATGTGTAATATTGATTGGTACTTCATCAATTCCTGGGGCCTGTTTATTTTGCCAATTCCTTCAGACCAGCTTGAACATCTTCCTTTATTACCCTTGGTTCTTGATCATATGCTACTATTTAAAATAGTTCGCAATTAGCTCTTCTCAGTGACTCGGTGTATTTCTTCCATCTTCTTTTGATGCTTCCTGGATTGTTCAAGATTTTACCCACGGCATCCTTCAGTATTGCAACTTGATACTTGAATTTGTTCTTCAGTTTCTTCACCTTGAGAAATGCTAAACAATTCCTCCCTTCTGATTTTCTGGCTTCAGCTCTGCATATTTTGTTAGAATACTTTAGTTTGTCTTCAAGAGCTGCCCTTTGACGGCTCCTGTTCAACTTTTAACTTCATCATTTCTTTCTTTTGTTTTGCCTTCTTGACATTTTAGTGCAATCTGCATAGTCTCTTCAATATCCACTTTGGTCTTATCTTCTGCCTCTGTCCTTGTAATGATCTATTGTTTTCTCTATGGATTATATCCTTGATATCAACCCACAGCTCATCTTTTCTTTGTTTATTAGTGTCCAATGCCTCAAACCTGTTCTTGAGATAGTTTTTAAATTCAAATGGGATAGGCTCAAGGTTATATTTTGGTTCCTGAGGATTTAATTTGTTTTCTTTAGCTTCAATTTGCACTTGTACCTGAGTAGTTGATGGTCTGCTCCAGAGTCAGGAGGGGCCGGTCTTTGGAGAAGGACATCATGCTTGGAAGGGTAGACAGCACAAGAGAGGAAGATCTTGGATGAGACGGATTGACAATGACCTGGCAATGAGGTCAAGTGTATCAGAGATAGTGAGGTCGGTAGAGCTCTGAGCTGTTGTTAACAGGGTCACTATGAGTCAT